TATGTACATATGTATGTAGTTGCCTATGCGGTCTGGCCACAACTACACAACTAAATATATTTAAAACAACCAATAAGCACTAACTATGTTGCATGCCTAGACTAATACCTATTTTAATTTTTGTTTTTACAAATAAGTACCTATGTATGTATGTATATAAGTAAGCTTGCTTGCTTTCTGCCGCAATAAAATTTATAACACAAGAAACTGGGCGTTCCATTCGAACATATAAATGTGTGTATATAATACATATGTACATTCATTCGTACGACAATACGTGACGTGTGTATGCAAGTATGTACGTATGTACAAAACTAACCACAATCCATACAAAATATGGCCTAAACTACTCCACAAATATACTCCAAACAATACCTGCAGAAGACTACATTTTGGAGTATATACGAAAAACCACATTCGAACATCCGATACAATCATCTTTGGTGGAAAGTTAGTAAATCATAATATTTATCAAATGAATTTATATTAATTATATACGTATGTATTCAAATTAGCGCATTTGATCTCTTTGTATTGGATTATATTATATTAGCTCAAATTTGTGATCATCTATGGGAGGCTGATGAAAACAATAACAAAACGAAACTGACAATAGTTCAGTTAGACATTTAATTCGGCATATGTTCAATTTAACTTCTTGCCAAAACTGATCGAAACCGACATGACAAAAAAAAAATTATATTGCACTTATAAAGCATGATCCATTTTGAGGTTCCCTACTCATTTAAAGAAAAAAAAACACAGAAAATTTAAATTTAATGGGGAATTTTTATTATCACTCGAAAGAACATTCTGGCGATACACACACGTGATATTTTGCTGTAAGGCCTGGGTCGAAGCGGGATAGTTCGATTCACTTAAGACTTTACATATCCTCAAAGGAAAAAAGTCTAAGGGTGTGATATCACATGACCTTAGTGGTCAATCGTGAAGTGTTTTCTCAATAAATTCATTGATTGATGCAATGAGTGGAAAGTGGTGCCGTCTTGTTGAAGCCAAATGTGGCCGAGTCACGAGATTAGTACTGCATGGGCACGCTAACAGTCGGCATTGACGATTACGTTCTTACCAACCATGTCAAAAGCTACATTTTCTTCACTGCATTCGGTCGAATATTAGTCAATAATGAATGTTGGGTGTCAAGATAGGTGATGGTGTTTCGAATGGTACGCTCTGTAGGCCGACTGTGTTGAATCATAAGTTGAGCTAAGCGCGCGAAGCACATTCTTTACAGAACTTGAATTTTCGTAATAAGCGTTGTTCAGGAGCAGGTCTTTTCATGATGAAAAGCCAAACAATGCTGAACAAAAATAATGTGACAGCATGACACAACTCACATGTGATCTTTCAAACAAAGGCTATTGAAAAAGTACCTCTACTTGGATCACCCGTTATGTAAAAATTAAATCTATAACTGAGCTTTTACCGTTTTATCTGTCCATAGCAAGCGAATGGTTTAATATTAATGTACACTGGTTTATTTTTATCCTTTTCGTGGTGGATTTAGAGTATTAAATATTATTTTCTCCGGAAAGTTCAGGTCAGGATTTGATGACTGTATATTGTATTCGAAACTGTAATTTTGCGGCAATACTACTATTAGGTCGACGCGTGTCGCTGAAAGCGTGTTTATTCGCACTAAAAGTTTATATTTGACAGTTTTTCGATTGATTGACTCAGTACGTTGTGAGCGTTCGTCAAAGATTGACACCAGCAAAGAGAAAATTCGTTATAGTTTGCCATTTTTCTTCGATCAAGGCGAAAACACAGCCAAAGCGGCTCAAAAAACTAATTTAGTTTATGGGCTCGATGCTGTAAACGAACGTGTAGCACAAAAGTGGTTTGCTAGGTTTCGTTCCGATGATATCGCAACTAAAGATAAGCCAGAAAACCGTTTAGAACCATTTGCATAACCTTGGATTCAAAGAGAAGCTCGATGTTTGGGTGCCACACGAACTAACGCAAAAAACATGATGGACCGAATTTCCATATGCGAGTCGCTGCGTAACAAAATCGACCTGTTTCTGAAGCGGATTGTGGCTGGCGATGAAAAATGGGTCACTTACGACAACATCGAGGGCAAACGGTCGTGGTCAAAGCTCGGGGAAGCGACCCAGACGGTGGCCAAGACCGGATTGACGACCAGGAAGGTTTTGCTGTGTTCGGTGCGATTTGGCAAAGGAATCATCTACTACGAGCTGCTCCCCTATGTCCAAACGCCCTCTACTGCCAACAAATGGACCGATTAAAGGCAGCAATTATCCAGAACAGGCCATCTTTGATCAACAGATGCCGAATTGTGTTCCATCAGGACAACGCCAGGCCACATACGTCTTTGGTGACGCGCGAGAAGCTCCAAGAGCTCGGATTGGAGGTCCTAATGCATCCACCTTTTAGTCCTGACCAGGCACTAAGTGATTACCATCTTTTCCTGTCTATGGCGAACACGCTTAATGGTAAGAAGTTGGCCTCAAGAGAGGCCTGTGAAAATTGGCTATGTGATTTTTTTTTTTTGATCAATTCGCTTAATTGATATTTTCATCAATTGAAACATTCCCTATAGTTCGAACTTTGTGACTCAATCAAACGGCAATAGGCAACGTAATTTTCAACAGGAATAGGAATCAAAGCCATTTAAAAAAATAGGTAACAGAATTTATTTTATTTGAAGTATACGCATATATTTTTTTTGGATTAGCTGCCTGCGATACCAAATTTTCTTAAGTCCGTTAACTATTAACAAAGCTTTCGCCTATTTTATAGGGCAATTACAATTTTCGCGCAGTTATCGGCTAACAGCAAGTTGGTAGAGAGGTCTTGGAAGCAAAAGATAAAGTGTAAACTGTGAATTTCGGATATTCGTGCTTAAAAAAATTTGGTATTGTCATTGGCGGTTTTTTTGCAAGCCTATTTTTGTGCGCACCATGGTAATGCGAACGATATTCCATCAGACTGAAGTATTTTGGCAAACTGCTTTCGGGGTGACAAAATTAATAAAATAAATATAAGCAAATTAGCCTTCAGTTTATTTTATGGCCAAAAGTACAAGTTATACGACTCTTAGTGAATTGTAACTTTGTGGTACCAATTTAAAAAAAAATTATATTTACAAATTATATTGAACTTTACCATAGAGTAGTAAATATACTTTTAAAATATGCATATGTCGGACGATCTCGGCCAGAAACCGCAGCAGCGGTTATAAAGCAGCAATTTGAAATTTTCGTAAATGGCGGATTTACAATAAAGGCGCTTATACGAGTATATACAATACGTTGTAATATTTGCACTGAATGAAGAAATCATACTGCGCAAAATACAAACTAAGAAAAACATCGTGCTCTGGTTATAGTCAATTTATTTACGATGTTATGTATTCTGCTTCAAGATATCAAGTAGTACGTTTTTATTGAATTTTTATAAAGCAAAATAGCTGAGTGGTTAGCAGTGCGTACTGCCATCCAACATTTAAAAAATTTAGAAAATTAATTAAAATAAAAAACTAAGCTAATTTTTGGTACTGCGGTCGTCCCACGGCAGGGAATGTCAACCCCCGGAGTATATAACTGACATGAAATAAAAACTCTTTATCAAAAATTCACCAGTGGAGGCTGCTTAGGATAAACTGTTGGTCACTCTATTTTCTGGAAATTGTCTAGAGTCATTAAACGTCAAACAATAAAATACAAAGCAAAGGCATTATGTTTCATCAGCACGCCACATCCGAAACCTTTTTGAAAACTATTCAAACAACACCTTAAGTGGAAACTGATGCCACATCCACCTTAAAGCCCAGACTATCTGATTACTCTACTTCGTTGCCTTTAAAACCATTTTGACGGTAAGTTTTTCGCTTCGATCAGGGTGTTAATAATTAAATGGATCAGTATTTCGCCCTCGATAGTTGTTTTATTCAACTAACTGAAAATGGTCAATATGTGTTGTTAACATTTATGAAGAAGTTTGTATGGTAATATATTATAAATAAATAAATTTATCGATCAATGGATTAGCGCACAAGACTTTGTTCTTACAATAAAACTCGCGCTCTAGCTCAGTGCTCATTACTCGAATGTTTACTATTACGAGCTCGATTTTTTCAAAGATTTTGAACAAACATGTTTTGATTTCCTCAATTTTTTCCCGCACCTTTTCAAAATCTGCTATTTGTGAAAATCAAATTCTGACTTATAAAATTCAAAATTTTTATTGTAAAAAATGTCTCGCACTTATTAGTTGTGACTGTTTAAGGCAACTTTTCATGAAATACTTTTTATGAAACACATGCATTGTTCTATAGACCCTCAAATTTCAATAATGTGCAAGTCCCAAAATTTTAACTGTCAACCAATAAAAGTTATGGCTCAGCCGATTAAAACTATTTTTCTTTCCAGCCGTAAACCTTGTCCTTCCTACATCCGAAAATAGCTCCTAAAAGATAAGAAGATGAATTTAGTATTGGCTATCACGTAGTGCAGAAAAAAAACATTTTTCTAATAAAAGCGACTTTTTAGACTTATATACGAACAAATATGGTATATGCAGGTGGAGAATAGATCTTAGCCAGCGACCATCTGATTTTTTCAGATATTTGAACGATATAAGATGGAACGACTATTATAAATATATTGACCTCATACAATTGTTTTTAAGATAAGTTTTTTCTTGTAATTTTAATACATATTCGCATCATCAAAAATCCTACAAAAATTTAATTAAGTCTTTGAAATGGCTGAAAACAGTACTTTTATCTCGGTTTTAATTTTAATGTGAGATCTAAAGTTAAAGAGATATTTAATGAATTGAATTATAGTTTGTATGACTTCAGTTTTTACGCTAATTCGCTTCAGCTTTTCTTCAAAAATTACAATTGACATATAAAAAATGTTCTTCTAAAATAACTGTTATTGATAATTATAACACTGATTTTAAATAATATTTTTTTACTACAAACAATTCGCATGTATAAAAATATTTACCTGTCAGTTTCTGTGTTAGCACTTTTCTGTTGATTTGTAAAAATATTGATAAATTATTGAGTTATTTAATTGTTTGAAGTTTATGCTGATAAGCTTTTTTACTTGCGCAAACGGTTTGTTCCCCACTGCTTACATATATAGAGGTATTTTTTGTGTATTTATTTTCATTTGTGTCTCCAACTTTCCTTTCATTTCAAGCCCGAGAACGAATTGAAAACTAATAACTTTTATGCAGCATCCGTTCGTTTTGTACTTGCTAAACGGTTTGTACTGTTATCAATCTTAATTTGTTGTTTCCATAATCCTATTTCCTTTAACTCTACTTATCTGTTATATTTACAATTTGTTTTTCATTTCCTTAACATTTATAGTTATTACTAAATAGGAACTTTATAATTCTTTTCTAATGAACGTACTACTACACTATATATTACATAGCAGTTTCCGCACGAAATCAATGGATTTAAGAAAAATATGTGAGAAATGTGAAGAACGGTCCTGAAAATAAAATAAAAATTTGCTTATGGACTTGTATATAAATACGTATATGTATGTGTGAATGAACATAGATACATATTTATTATTGTAAATGATATTAATAAAGCATAGGAAATGCTCGTAAGTGCGACAATAAAACTTTTATTATTTTTTACTGAAATCTCGCCAACTCACGAACAAAAATAAAATTGATCGTCACCATTATACTACATCATGTAACAGAGACCAATTTAGATAAAACGAAAATGTTCTGCCATCAATTTTTTAAATAAGTTGTTTCATTTTACTTAATTTGTATACCTTTCATAAATTTGATATTTTGGTCCGAAGTATGTAAGTACAAGCATAAGGGATATTGTAGATCCATTAAAATGTACACCGATATGATCAGAATGACGAGTTGAGTTTATTTAGCCATGCCCGTCTGATCGTTTGTTTCAGGCAAACTAGTTCTTCAGTTTTTAAGATATTTCAGCCAAACTTTCCTGAACCGACTCGATCAGAGCACTATAACATAAATTCGTCCGATTTTCAAGGTTCGATATTTCGGACCGTAAATGCGTCAAAAAAGCATTTAAGAGCGTGACATTTGGTTCATATACATACGTGTATAATATGTGAATTACACACTGGTACTTAAAATTATCGGAATCAGAAGAGGTGTGTTCAAAAAATATCACGAATTTTATGTGTTTTTCAAAAATTATTTATTTATTCAGTAATATCTATTTTGTCTCTTTCAAAGTTATCCCCACGAGATATTATACACTTGTGCCAACGGTTTTTCTAATCTTCGAAGCAATATCATTTTTTTTATCTTGTCCAGCTCCTCCTTCGATGCCGTCTTTATCTCGTCAATCGTAGCGTAACGTCGTCCTTTCATGGGCCTCTTCAATTAAGGGAACAAGAAAAAGTCACAGAGGGCCAGATCTGGGGAATACGGTGGCTACGGCATCATTAGTGTGTTCTTTTTCGCCCAAAATTCGCGCACAAGCAATGATGTGTGAGCAGGGGCGTTATCGTGGTGCAAAAGCCAATATTTGTTCTTCCACAAATCCGGACGTTTCTGGTGGATTGCTTCGCGCAAATTGCGCATAACTTGCAGGTAATATTCCTTATTCTACCCTGTGGCAAGAACTCATGATGCCCCATGCCCCTGCAATCGAAGAAAACTGTCAGCAAAGCTTTCACATTCGACCGAACTTGGCGCGCTTTTTTCGGTCTTGGTTCGTGCGGCAGCTTCCATTGAGATGATTGAGCTTTGGTTTCCACGTCATAACCATAAACCCACAATTCGTCACCAGTTATGACCCTCTGAAGCAAATTTGGGTCGTCGCGTACAGAGTCTAACATCTCTTTAGCAATGTTCATGCGATGCTGTTTTTGGTCGCAATTGAGCAATTTTGGTACGAATTTCGCAGCGACCCGTCTCATGCCCAAATTATTGATAAAAAACGAATTGCACGAGCCAATCGATATGTTGAGGTCCTCAGCAACTTCTCTAACGGTGATTCGACGATTGGCCAATACCATTTTCTCCACTTCATAAATTTTTTCGTCTTCGGTCCAAGGTAGCTTCTCCGTATGCCACAGTCAACATTCGGAATGCACCCGCGCACTTAATTTCGTTTAACAAAATTTGATACAGGTTCTTTGATCCATTTTTTGAATAGGTAAAATCGAAGACCATCCAAAACACGTGCAAGCAAAGCAGCTGTAAGCAATAAAGTGAACATTCAAAATGGCCGAGCTTGTCGGGATAAGTGACAGATATGAGTACCAACATAACGCCTCAAAAAAATCAAAATTAGATTACACGTAACCTGCGAAAATTCAAAATTTTTAAACACACCTCATATAATATTTAGCTCCATAGACCGATTTCTACAGAAAAAGGACTTTGTTCAAAGAGCATATTATTTGGCATTATACATTCGTATCTACAAATAAACAATGTCATCGAAAATCATGAGAACCGAACTACTATATCAATTTGTTAAGATATGATGTTTTGATCCAAGAATTCGTCAAAAAAGCATTTACGAGCATTAAATTCGGTCTTATCCATTCGTATTTACATACAAGCCAAAACCGAAAATCATCGAAATCATATGATATACACGTAAGTGTCATCCATCCAAAGGATTTTTTCAGATATGAGGTTCCGAATAAAAATTCTGTCAAAAAAGCATCTAAAAGCGAGAAATTTGTTATTATACATTCATGGAAATCGAATTTTGCATTTAGCAATATATTTGATAGGTTCATGAAATTTTATATTATGCTTCATATTAGCCGAAGGGTAGTTCAAAAAGAAAATTTGTAAGTATATGGATATTTGCAAAACTGAATACTTTTCCTTAAATAAATGTTTGAAAAAATAATATAAAAATAGAAATAAACATTTATTTATAGTTTTAATATTGGGACCAATTCGTTATTTCTCAGGCTATTGCGCTTTCATTTTCATTCAAATTTTAATAGCAAACTTTTTATTTATTCTGACCAGGTTGATGATGATCATGAATATTATGATGGGAAGTACATATTCACATGCACTATTGTATTCACAACAAACAATAAGAATAAATATTCACCGAATTAAAAAAACATAAAGTAACGAAAATTCAAAAATCTCAAGCTGAATACTGTGACTACGATAGAAGTTTCGCATAGAAAACAGGTTGCCATAAACAACCAGTCACCGTGGTAATCATCCGTAATTACCTTTACGTGTAAAACATTGCAGGTAACTCGACCCAACAATGCATAAACTTACAAACATACATCCCTACATAGAAGTTTGAGTGTATGTGATTCACGCTTAAGAATGCATATAAGTATATGATACATACAAATAATAATTCCGATGAATGCAAGGTACAATACTTTAACCTTATTGTTGCCAGTATAGAAGGTACATATACATAATTATATATTTGTAGGCATGCTTTCAAGGATATACAGTTACTCACACGTCTAACCGGATGCGTACAATGCCAATGTTAACACTATCGAAACATTGAAATTAAAGGAAAATTCTTGCACTTAGTTAAGAAATCTTAAAAACAGTAATAAATCATAATATACAAAATTTGTTCCTCACAACTAACCGGATTTTTAGAAAACTAATGACTATTAATATTTTGTAGCAAATTCTTTTGCAGGTAAAACACCTTCTAGTCTCCTTCGTATAGAGGCAACAAGTTTTTGATAAAATTCCTGTGGTATTGCGTTCCAATCCTCCAAAATTGATGTTTTGAGCTCAGCAGTATTCAAATGCGTCCTTTGATACACTTTTCGACCGAATTCTTGCCATATGTGCTCAATAACATTAAGATCTGGGGATTGGGCAGGTGTATCCAATACATGGGTACAATCGTATATTAACCAAGAAGAGGCAATCTCTGATTTGTGCTTCGGATCGTTGGCTTGGTAAAATATAAAATTGTCTTTAATTCCCAATGTGACACATGACTGCTTAACATTTTCCTTAAAGATGTCAACATATTGGAAACGATCCATAATACCTTGGACAAAATGAAGTTTGCCTGTTGCTTTAGCCGATATGCATCCTCAAACCATTACTGAGCCACCACCGTGCTTAAGGGTTGCCCTAGTATGTTTTGGCAAGTAAGCTTCGTTGAGACGCCGCCATATTAAACTTCGACCATGAGAACCCTGCAAGTTAAACTTGCTTTCGTCTGTGAAAATAACCTTGATAAAGGAAAAGATATATTCTTATATGACTACCTAATTAAAGTTATGCCATTTACCCTTTGCCAAAACACGTTAGGTTTCTTTAAATAATATTTCGCAAATTTTAGCCTTCTCTTCCTGTTTTTTTCGTATATGAGTATGAATGGCTTTTTACAACTACTCCACCGTGTAAATCGAAGCTTCTGAGTGTGCGACAAGTTGTTTCAGCGGAAGCTAGGAAAAATTCCCTTTTTCATTATATAATATATTTTTATTAATAATTTTTCATACAAACTTTTCTTCGGCTTGTGTAAGCTTCTTTGCTTGACCAACTCTACTAATATTGTTTATCCTATTTTTCTTCTCAAACTTTTTTATAATATCAAAGACGGTTGATGTACTCCTTTTTACAATTTCCGAAATCTCGTTAGAGGTTTTTCGGTCTTTTCGTAACTGAATAATAAGCTTTCGAATTAGATAGCTAATACAACTTAAAAAAGAATACTCAATGTTTATACGAGTGAAGTTCCACAGCACAAAAATGTACCTTTACTTGCAAAAGCTAATTTCTGTAATTTTCCGGTCAGTTGTGTGGAACGAATTTTGTATGTTATGTGTTATTTCTTTAATTTTCGGGCTGTGAATTAATTTATTACTATTGTACTTTAAAGCTTCCAAAAGTAAAGTAGAAACATTTTTCTTTAATTTAGGGTATCATATATACCACGTTTAATAATTTTACACTTAGGGGTATCAACATCTTCATAGCACTCATCCGGTTAATTGTGTGAGTCACTGTAACTAAATACCCTGCGGAGAAAATTCTTATGTAAAAATACTGATTAAATACTAGTATTTCAAAGATGAAACCGTACCTATTCGCTATTTGTTAGCAAATCTATAGTAATGGGAAAAATAGGGAATTTTCACAAAGCCAGCAGAATATTCCGTTAATGTTTAGCGCAACACAGGTGAGTTTCATTTTGTGATACGCTATCTTATACGAGTATGATAGATTATGATTAATTAACATTGCAATTCGTATAGCCACGATAGACAGTTGACCTAAAGTCTGTCAATTGATATTTCGTATGACATCGTCATGTTATCAAATCAGCTGCTATTATAGAAAATGATGGCAGATGATATAGTTAGTAAAAAGTTCACAAAGTGACATTTTGGTTAAAACTTTCGTCTTTCCCTGCAGGGTATTGGCGCATACAAACATGCATATGTATACACATACACACACATGCATACAAATGAAATAATATAGGGGTAAGTGCGAATGAATACTACGT